GTAGTCCCAGCTACTCGGGAGGCGAGGCAGGAGGATTGCTTAAGCCCAAGAGTTTGAGGTTGCTGTGAGCCAGGCTGACGCCACAGCACTCTAGTTTGGGCAACAGAGTGAGATTCTGGCTCAAAAATAAATAAAAGGAAAAAGAATACATTTCATAATACCATAGCTGTCATAGATTCCTCTGATAGATGTGGGCAAAGTAAACTAAAACCTCCTGGAAAGGATTCACCATTCTAGATGTAAGAACATTCGTGATTCATGGAGGAGGTCAAAATATCAACATTCACAGGATGTGGAGGGATGGATTCCACCCTCACAGATGACTTTGAGGGGATCAAGCCTCCAGTGGAGGACGTCACTGCAGATGTGGCGGGAACAGCAAGAGAACTAGAACTAGAAGTGGAGCCTTGGAGATGGGTCGGAATTGCTGCAATCTCATGAGAAAACTTTAAGGGATGAGAAGTTGTTTCTTATAGATGATCAAAGAGTTGGTTTTGTTTTTTTTTTTTTTTGAGACAGAGTCTCACTCTGTTGCCCCGGTTGCTAGAGTGCCGTGGCATCAGCCTAGCTCACAGCAACCTCAAACTCCTGGGCTCAAGCGATCCTCCTGCCTCAGCCTCCCGAGTAGCTGGGACTACAGGCTTGCACCACCATGCTCATGCACCATGCTCAGCTAATTTTTTCTATACATTTTTAGTTGGCCAATTAATTTGTTTCTATTTTTTTTTTTTTAGTAGAGATGGGGTCTCGCTCTTGCTCAGGCTGGTTTCAAACTCCTGACCTCGAGCAATCTGCCCGCCTCGGCCTCTCAGAGTGCTGGGATTACAGGTGTGAGCCACCACGCCCGGCCTAAACATAACTTTTAAATGCAAAGTAATGGCATTTAAAAGTAACTTTTAAATGCAAAGTGTGGCTCTTTTCCTTGTGATATCTGCCCTTTTATGGTGCTCTGAAATCAAACCTGCAGTATCTCTGAGGTATACCTGTAGAGATAAAACTTCTAAAAAAAATTTAAGTTAAAAAGTAGATGTGTTAAAACGTAAAAACCATCTTTAAAAGGGAAAGCCACATACCATATGGGTCTTTTTACAACCACACAGCTGACAAATGTTTAGTATCCAGGACATACACATGGGCCAATCACAAATCAGTACGGAAAAGATAAACATGCCACAGCAGGAACAGACACAGGACATGAATGGCAATTCACAGCAGAAGCCAGCATGGCCAGTTAACATGGGAAAGGGTGCGATTTCTCCGGAAACTGGTGAAACGCAAGTTACAATCATGATCAGCTGTAGGAAAATTTTAAAGTCAGGTGGTGCCAAGGAACAGGGAAAATGCGTCATGGACATTCCTGTACACAGGTAGAAGGTGACCCAACCCCTGACCGACCACTGCGGAGGGCACTTCCACAATACGCGGTACGGCTAAGGCCCAGGAAACCCACTTCTATTTAAATGCTCAGAAGTGCTCACACTTGAACATTCCAGAATGTTCACTATGTCATGGTTTTTATAACAATGGAAACCTAGAAACCCCCTAAATAGAGTATATTTACATAACGGGAAACCAAGCAGCAATCCAAATACATGACCTGGAGCTACACGTATCCGCACAGGAAAAAAAAAGTCTCTAAAACAACATTCAGTTTTTATGAAAAGGTGGGGCTGTGAAGCCAAATTCAACAAATTTCAAAAATTTTAAATAATGCAGAAAATGTTCTGAGACCACAGTGCACTTAAGGTAAAAGTCAGTAGTATCGGGTATGGAGTTTCCTTTTAGTGTGATTAAAATGGTCTGGAATTAGATGGTGACGACGGTTGCACAATTTTAATAATTTTAGCATAATTTCTTAAAAATCAATAACAAAAAATACCTAAGAAAACCCCATGTTGATAAAATAATACCCGTCTAAATAACACATAAAACCGAAGGAGAAAAAGCAAAAAGCACAATGCAGGCCAGAAAACCGAGCACTAATGAAAATATTAATATGACATATCACAATTTATGAGATGAAGCAAAAGCCACACTTAAAGGGAAATGTATAACTTTAAATCCATTTATTAGAAAAAAGACTGAAAAAAAAATCAATGAACATTCATCCCAGAAAACTGGAAAAAAACCCAGCAAATTAAATCCACAAAAAAAGTAAAATTATAAAAATACTGAACGTCAATAAAGCCAAATTTGGTTCTTTAGAAAGACTAATAATAAAACAGAACTTGGGAGATTAATGAAGAAAAAGGTAAACAGAAACAGTCCTATCAGGAACAGAATCGGATGTCACTGCACTAGTTCTGCCAAAAATACACACTAGGAATCCGATCGTGGAGAAACCTTCAGACTAGATTGAGAGTCTGCAAAACCACCAGCCTGAACACTTCAAAATGCAAAGGTCATGAAAACCAAATTTCACTCTGAGGAACTGTCCCAGATGCAAGGAGACAGGTGACCTCTCAACTAAATGTGATGCAAGATCCTGGACCTGGCAAAGAACTGTCGTGGACACGGCCGGCCGGCACGGTCCGAATGGTCTGGAGATGTGACAGTTGGCCGGTGTTACACTTCCCAACCTTGTAACTCTCCTGTGGTGGTGTGAGGGAACGTCCCTGTTCTCAGGAAATACACGCAGAAGAATTTAGGTGCAAAGGGGCGTGAGGTCTGCAATGTTCTCTCGATTAGTTCAGATGTAAGCGGACCCGGGGTAGAGTTCAGAATTTAGTTCCGAACCAGGAGGAGCTTTGGCTAAGAGAGGCCAGCTCCCTGTCAGGATTGCTCCTGAATCACCCAAGTGCACAGGCTGGACTTGGGCTCAGAGGTCTCACACTTCATCTATGACGTGGAAGACGCATGGCCTCCGAGGCCAGCCCTGCGGCCGGGGCCCTTCCCAGCCGGCTGTCTGAGGCCCAGGCAGCTCTGGGAAGCAGAGCCTCGGCTGGGACTGACTGGCACCTGGGAATCACAGGCGGTTCCTTAGTCTGGACTGACTCTGCTGTGCCGGCCCTCTGCCCAGGTGGGAGCAGCGTGGCTCTACCTTCGGCCCTTCGAGGCCCAGACGCTTCTCGGCAGGTGGGGCGCCTCAGCCTGAGCACCAAGCCACAAGGGCCAGATTGCTGAGTGAGGACAGCTGGGTCCCCAGAGGAAGGGCCCAAAGACAACTTCAACCCCGTGCCTGGTCCCCTATCCCCGCTCTGGGCCCAGAGCCATGGCTACCTCCCAGGAGAGGCCACGGAGTCCTCCACACAACCCCTCTCCACTGTTCCTGGGCTCACAGAGACCCCACTTGGGGTCAGTGACTCAGAGAGTGACAGGCCTTCATTTGCCCTGTGAACTAAAATAAAATCTTAAGCCCTCCAGCTGACCAAATGGGCCCCTCTCGGCCAAGGGGACCCCAAAAATACCCTAAAGCTGAGTTGCTGGCCATGACAAGGGAGGTCAGACATGCCTCATCATGTCCCCCTCTTTTCTTGGAGATGTCCTTATAACTCATCACCAGGCCTACGGCTGCACAAGACAAAGCTTAAACCGCAGCTGCAAGTCGTCAACTCACGTAACAGATCGCTTGAATCTGGATGTATGTCTGGCAGCTTCTCTCTAACAGATCTCCTTAACTTAAAACATTCCAAGTCCTTAGACAAAGCTTCACTTCATTAACTAATTACAAATCAAAGAATCTTTAACTCACCTATAGCCTGTAAGCCCCCTTGCTTCAAGATGTCCCGCCTTTTCAGACCAAACTAATACACACCTTCCGTGTACTGATTTATGACAATACGTGTAATTCTCGTCTCCCTAAAATGTATAAAACCAAACTGTAACCCACCCACGGCGAAACCACCAAGGCTTCTTGGCGTGGCTCTCCAGGCCACGGTCGTGCGTATTCCGCTCAGAATAAACCTTTTTAAGTTATTTTACAGAGTTAGGACTCTTTCCCGCTGACACCCCCAGGTGGGCTTAGTCCAACTTTGCTGCTCTGGGAGAAGCCCTGGAGCCCACTCCGCTGCCACACCGTTGGCTTGCGCCTGAGTCCCGGGCAGGGGCAGGGCAGACCCAGGAGACCAGAGACGGTAGGGGCCAGGGGCTGAGGCCCTGTGCGCTTCCCTGCAGCGGGAGGCGGCACGGACCCCAGCCCGGACCCCAGCCCACAGAGAGCAGAGGAAGCGCCTCCCCCACGCAGGGTCATCAGCCCCGGGGAGCTCACCCGTCCTGCGGCGTTCCCTCCACCCAAGGCCGAGGGCCGCCGCCCTGCCTACCTCCAGCGACAGCTTCAAGTAGGGGCCTCTGTCCTGCCCGTGCGCTCCGGGAGCTGCAGCCAGGGTGGCACAGGGGCCCGGGCAGGGGCAAGAGCAGGGCCCGCCCTGCAGACCACGGCTCCCGCTCCGGGTTGCACCCTTAGGTTGAGCGCTGGCACCTGGCACAGAAATACACACGCAGCGACGGCGCCCCCTTGAGGGTGGCCCCTGAAGGGTCACCTCCCTTCCCCTTCCCTCCAGAGACCTCCCAGCAATGACCATCGGGCCCCCTGCCCTCTCTGCTCTGTGCAGGGCTGTCCCCACCTCTGAAATCTTTTTTCTCTTCGCTGTTTCTCTTCCAGCTGCTTCGCTCTTGACACTGGCCCAAAGGGTAAGACCTCATCTGGCTACCGAGGGACCGACACCCAGAGCCAGCCGGCGGGCACGGGACCCTGGGCAAGACCCCACCCCACAGCTGGCTCAGGGCTGGTGCTAGAGCATTCGAGCACGGGTTCCAGAGCTCTCTGCAGCTTTGCTTCCCCGGCCCCTGCCCGGCCCTCTCTCAGGAGCCTGGGCCTGCCCCCCTCGCCAGTCGCCCTGCCTGGCCCCCCTGCTCACGGCCACTCTCCCCACACTTCCCGGGGCTGGACCGGGGCCTCACGACCCGAGTCACAGGGTGGGGCAGTGGGAAGGTGGAGCTCCATGCAGACTAGAGACCACCTTCCCTCTGGCACCCAGGACGGGCAAGGACACGCGGACACGTTCGGGGACAGGCGTGCTTTATTACCTACGGCTCCCACAGCACACAGCGGGCCAGCCCCGCATGCAGCCTGTCCAGGACCTGCAGGCCTGGTCACTCCACCCCTCATCCTCCTCCTGACCCCTGACCTCAGGGAAAAGAGCAGACTCCGCCCAGGGACTGTCCCATGTGGGTCTTTATGCCCAGTGTGTCACTCGGCCCCCACAGCAGGGCCCTCGGGAGGCCGGGGTCATGCAGATGAGGATAATGAGGCAGCATCCCAGAGCGGGGAGACCGAGACGATGACAGTCTGTCCTCAGAGGCAGGTCCCCACCCCGCCCTCCGCAGTCTGACGTGGCATGGGCAGGGGTGAGGGGCGGCAGCGGGCTGGGCCCGGCATGAGGCGTGGCCCCTGCCCTCCATCCAGCCCCTGACCAGCAGTCAGGCCAAAGCCACACGCTCCCGCCTCTCTCCCGTCCTCGAGGGTGGCCCAGGCAGTCCCAGCCCTGGCCCCGCAGAAGGCTCAGCTCCGGTAGCTCCTGAGCAGGTGCCCGGCGATCACCAGCCTCTGGATCTCGCTGGTGCCTTCGTAGATCTCAGTGATGCGGGCATCGCGGTAGTGCCTCTCGGCTGGCATCTCTGTCACATAGCCCATGCCGCCCAGGATCTGGATGGCCTATGAGGGAGCAGGAGCTCAGGAGGGAGCAGACCCCACTGGGGGCAAAGACCAGGCAGGACCGGCCCAGAGAGGAGCCGGCTGGGGGAGGGGCAGGTGGCCCCTGACCGTTCACTGGGACACTCACCTGGTGGCTGATGGCAGTCGCAGCCTCCGATGCCGCCAGCTTGGCCATGGCCGCCTCCTAACCACAGGGGAGACAGAGTCAGCGCCTTGCCCTGGAGGGGAGTCCTGGCTCCCGGCCCCCCGGCAGGGGCAGCCCACAGACCGCTCTGTGAGCAGCAGTAGCCCCCCAGGCCCACACCAGCTGCCACAGGGCCCTCCCAGCCCTGGGCCGCGCTCAGGAGCCCCTTCCCTGCAGGCACCTTGATGAAAGGCTTCCTGTTGTCCTTCAGCATGGCGGCTCGCCAGGTCAGCAGCCGCGCGCTCTCCAGGCCCAGGGCCATGTCGGCCAACTTGAACTGCGACAGCCACGCCCCACGGTCAGCAGGCGCCCCGCACTCCCTCCAGGGGCGGGAGGAAGGAGGGACAGGGACAGGAGAGCAGGTAAGAGGCGGGCTGCCCACCCTCCAGGGCCCGAAGCCCTCCAGAGCTCCGGAAGCCACCGCCCCTCACCTGGATGCCCTGGAGCTTGGTGAGGGGCGCCCCGAAGGCCATGCGGTTCTCGGCGTAGTGCACTGCGCAGTCGAGGGCGGCCTGGGCGATGCCCAGGGCCTGGGAGGCGATGCCGATGCGGCCCATGTCCAGGGTTTGCTGTGGGGACGGCCCGGTCAGTGGGCGGCCAGCCGGGGCCCGGCCTGGCCCCAGGGCACTGCCACCCCTGCCAGCTCACCATGGCGATCTTGAAGCCCATCCCCGGCTCCCCCAGGATGTTGTTCTTGGGGATGCGACACTCCTCAAAGATGAGGTTGGCCGTGGACGAGGCCCGGATGCCCAGCTTGTCTTCCTTCTTCCCCAGCGTGAGCCCAGGCGTCGGCATGGGGACCAGGAAGGCACTGATGCCCTGAAAAGCGCCAGGCGGCTGAGCGACCTTCTCAGAGGCTGTGCCTCGGGCCACACCCCCCGGGCCAGACACGTACTGCAGACCCTTCCCCCTGCTCCCTGGGAAGCTCCGGTGGCGCCCCCTGCTGGCTCCCGGGGAAGGTGCAGCGGCAGGCCAGGGAGGGACAGCGACAGCCCACCCCACTCGCGGGAGTGGGAGCAGCTCCAGCAGGGCCGAGGGGACGGGAGCTAGAAGCTGTGGAAGGACTGCAGCCCAGAGGTCTGACGGACCCCTCTCTGTGGCCCCCACCTTGTTCTGCAGGGATCTGTCCGTGCTGGCAAAGACCACGGCGGCCGAGGCCTCCCAGGAATTGGTGATCCAGGCTTTGGTGCCATTCAGGACCCATGTGTCCCCCTCAGCCCGGGCAGTGGTGGAAGCGGCCCCTGCGTCGCTGCCGTTCCCTGCCACACAGACTGGGGATGCGGCGGCGCCGCCCCCGCCCCACCCAAGGGCACCCAGCCTGCCCCCGCCCCCAACGTGGTGAGCAGGAAACCCTGCGACTTGGGCTCCCAAAATCCAAGGTCTGCTCCCAAGAGAAAGCTCCAGGGCTACACCAGCTCCCAAAGCTCTCAGCGACCAGTCCCAGAGGGCAACAGGGGTGTGCAGAAGTGGGGAGTCTTCAAGCCAGAGGGACCCCAAAGCCAACCTTCCTGCCTACCCAGCAGAGGCAAGAGCGTTCTCCTTGGCAGACAGCGGTGGCCAGAGCTCGCCCAGCTGACTGCGCCATTCCTCCTGCCCAGCAGCTGGCCCCCTGGGGGTACCCAGCTCCGTCTGGGTCGCCCTGATTCTGAGCTGAGGGGACGGGGTTGGCCCACGCCCAACCGTGGTACCTGGTTCACTGAGAGCAAAGCAGCCAATTTTGTCGCCACTGGTGAAGGGAGTGACCCACTGCTGCTTTTGTTCCTTGGAGCCGAACTTCAGGATGGGCCCCAAGTAGAGAGACTGGGGGGACAGTGAGGGGCAGTCGGACGCCTGCAAGCCCTGGCACACCCCGCCTGCCCATGGGCTGCACCCCAAGGCCTGTTCTCTCCGGGGGCTTACCCCAGTGGGACCGACTCCAGAGACATCTTGCGGAGATCCGGGATGGGACTGAGGCCTGCCTGCCCCCAGGAGCCTCCCTCTACCTGCGCGCCCGCAGCCCGGGCGGGCACTCACGTTGTTGACGCTCATGATGACCCCGGTGGACGCGCAGCCCCGGCTGATCTCCTCCACGGCGATGGCGTAGGCCAGGTAATCCAGGCCGGCGCCGCCGAGCTCCTCGGGCACGTCCATGGCCAGGAGCCCAAGCTCGCCCATCTTCTTCACCTGGCCCCGGGGAAGGACGTCACCGCCAGGGCAGCTGCTAGGGGCCGGGACCCACCCTCCCCAACCCCTCCTGTGCTCCTGAACCAGGGCCTGCAGAAACTCACGCCCTGTGACCCCACCCTGACACCATTCACTCGTGCTGTCCTGTCCCCACTCCACGCTGGCTCCCCACTCTATCCACAGCCACAGTGAGCGGGCAGAAGGCACAGGAAGCCTTCAGGGGGCTCTGAGATAAGGAGCAGGACCACACTGTACCATAATGACCTTCCTTCAGTCCCCTAAGTGTACCCCGGCCCCACATACCCCCTCTCCCCACCAACAGGGCCTTTGCACATGCTGTTCCCCAGTAATGCCCTTCATCCACCAGTGACATCCCCTCCCCCTCCCCTTCTGATCTCGGCGCAAGCCTCGCTTCTCTGGGCTGCCAGCCCCAGCCCCACTAAGTCAAATCCTTTAACCACACACTCCCCCGCGGCGCCCGTGCGGCCGCATTGCTCCTCTGTTAACGCGCGTGTTCACTAAGGTCTCTCTTCCTGACAATGAGGGCAGGGACTTTTGTGTTTTGCTCACTGCTGTACACCCAACACTAGGGAAAGAATGAATGGATGATGAGCTTGGGATATTTTATTTGGAATAACAATAATAGTAATTGTTAATTATCAAGAGCCTACTTACTAAATGCCAAATTCTGCATGAAGTGCTTTATGTGTATTCTTTCCTCTGAGTCTCTCTAAAGCTCTGTGAGAATGATTCTCTTAAAACAAAACAGAGAGAGAACCACATGAAGTTGACAGAGGCCCAGTTCATCACCTCTGTGGACCCCACTATGTGCGCTGGGACAATAGGGACCTGGTACTTGACAGGCATACAATCTGGTTTGTTTCTTTACTTTTCATTAGAGACACGGTCTTGTTCTGTTACACAGGCTGGAGTGCAGTGGCACGATCAGAGCTCACTGCAGCCTTGAACTCCTGGGCTCAAGAGATCCTTCTGCCTCAGCCTCTGGGGTAGCTAGGACTATAGGTGTGCCCCGCTATGCCAGGCTAACTTTTTAATTTTTTTGTAGAGACAGGGTCCTGCCATGTTGCTCAGGCTGGTCTTGAACTGCTGAGCTCAAGCCATCCTCTTACCTCAGCCTCCGAAAGTGCTGGGATTACAGGTGTGAGGCACCTCGTCCAGCCTCCCGGTTCAATTCTATGAAATGCCACAAACATTTGTTGACTGTTAAGCACTAGCTGAGTGCAGAGTGTCATGTTGGACAGGAAGATGTGAGTACGAGTAGGACCCAAACCCTCCTTTGAGAAGTGGTTTGAATTAACTGGGATATTAACACGATGATGACATAAGAATCACAGCTTACAAATGGAATGCTCCCAGGGCACAGCGAGATGAACTCTGGTTGGGATAAATGAGAGGAGGTGGCATTCAGGAGACATTTTCAGGGTGGGAATTAACAAGAGTCAGTGGGCACGAGGGAGAAAAATGGGGTTCAGACTCTAGGGGTTTCTACGTGGTTAACTAGGGCCGTGTCAACACCATCCTCTGAAACAGGGCACAAGAGGAAAACAGTTTTGCACCCGCCACTTTGACATTATTCAACAAATGTTCACTAAGCGGATGAGAAGAAACTGGGCTCAGTTTTAACCATATAAATATACATAGCTACATTTCACAGTTAAGGAGTTCAAAATCAGTTGGAAACACCATTCTATTTCCTATTTTCCTTTAGAATGAAATGGCATTGTAAATTCATAACAGTTTCTCATTTGTTTGTTTGGACATAAAAAGAATAAAGTTCAATTACAATTACAAAACCAGCCCAATAAGCAGGACTGGCACTGTTGACCTCTTTCCCAGCCTATCTGCTCTCAGTTCTTCCCCCGACCCTCCCCTACGAAGTCGCCTTTTTTGGAGAAAAAAAGTCTTCAGGAAAAAATATTAGAAATCACTAACTAAACACCTACTATAGGCCGGGGCTGGCTCAGAAGTCTGGATTCTGTCTCCTCTAGTTACCAACTGTGAAATGTCAAGCAAGAAACTTCCTTCTGGCTTTAGTTTCCTCATGTGGAAACTCAAGGCCATGAAATCCCTACCTCAATGGTGTTGTCTTGAAGATTTTTTTTTTTTGGAGACAGTCTTGCTCTGTTGCCCGGGCTACCATGCCATAGCATCACCCTAGCTCACAGCAACCTCAAACTCCTGGGCTCAAGAGATCCTCCTGCCTCAGCCTCCTGGGTAGCTGGGACTACAGGCATGCACCACATGTCTGGCTAATTTTTTCTATATATTTTCAGTTGTCCAGCTAATTTATTTCTATTTTTACTAGAGATGGGGTCTCACTCTTGCCTGTCTTGAAGATTTAATGAGTTAAATATATGCATAAGTGCCTGGAATACAGTCACCTCCAAATGTTACTCCTGAGGTTAATACTATTGGGATTTTAATACTATTGGGATTTTGCATTATTTTGGTGCTCATGATCTATGCATGTCCCATTCTCTGACTTCTGCCTCCTTTCTTCCTGGGTTCCCTCCATAACTGGGAGCTCAGCAGCATGCACAGTGCCAGGAATAAAAGCAAGGTGCCACCAACTTCAATTCTTAGCTAAGGGAAGCAAGCACTGGGGAGGAAGCTGTGCATCCCATCGGCCCCCAAACCAGACTCCAGTGCATGCGGATAAAGAAGAGATCGGCAGACTCAGCCCGACTCCTCCCCAGCTCTGCCCGGCACCAGGGGGCAACTCCTACAGCTGCTTTTCATTGGTAAGAAGGAGAGAATATCAGCAGGACTCAAGATGATCTAATGAGATTATAGATGTGGAAACACCTTATAAAAGATAAAACAAAATACAAGCCAGGAGATGGCTCACACCTGTAATCCTAGTGCTCTGGGAGGCCAAGGTGGGCAGATTGCTCAAGGTCAGGAGTTCAAAACCAGCCTGAGAAAGAGTGAGACCCCCATCTCTACTAAAAAAAATAGACAGAAATTAATTGGCCAACTAAAAATATATATTAACAAGTTAGCTGGGCATGATGGTGCATGCCTGTAGTCCCAGCTACTCGGGAGGCTGAGGCAGAGGATCGCTTGAGCCCAGGAGTTGGAGGTTGCTGTGAGCTAGGCTGACACCATGGCACTTTAGCCCAGGCAACAGAGTGAGACTCTGTCTCAAAAAAAAGATAAAATACAGGTTATCACTACTCTCAGCTACCTTCGTGTATTCATCAAATCCTTTCTGCGCAGCCTCAGCATGCCAGAAGGGAACATGGCTGCTGTCTGTGATGTCCTTGTCCTTCTTCAGTCCCATGCCTGCCACCACTGGGAGGATTACCCTGCAACCTCCCCGCCCCACAGGCAAGGAGGACAGTATAAATAAAGCCAGAGGCCCAACTTAAGAGCAGGAGGGTAAAAAGTCTTGCTTCTACTAGCAGCTTCTTGCACAGGGTGAGTCTAGTCTGGAATACCAGTGACCACTGGAAGGAGTCCGATATAGGCCAAATAAATCAGGCGGCCTGTCATCTGGCAGGAAGAGCCCGACACAGAGCCGTGTCTTGATCAGTGGCCTTGGGGGACAAGCCTCTAAACTGTTCCTGCTTCTCAGTGGCCTCTCTGCTGATTCCCTTGCTCTCCTCACAAAGAATTTGAGTTTTTCACATCCACTAACAGGAAAGGTAAAGGGACAGCGCCAGCTGAGGTTACTGAGTCATGTGCATGTGTGTCCAGTGCTGGGGGGGGGGGAGAGGGGAGAGCGAGCAGGGGTAGCTGAGGCTTAAAAACAACGTTCCCAACTAGAACAGGGCTTCCCTGCCTGCCATCTTGGCTTCTGGACAGCAGCCTAGATAGTGGATGGAGCAGGGTTTTGGAGACCTGGGCCATGAATTATAACTGTCCCAGAGACCAGTTAACTCCTAGAAAGTCACTTCACTTCTCTATGCTTCAATTTTCTCAACTGTAATGAAAACAGCAGTAACAGTATTAACAGCTGCCACTTCCTGAGCACCATGTACCATGAATTTGGTGTATGTTATCTCGTGTGATCCTTGAACTCACTCCAGAAAGCGAAATGGAGATTAGATTAGATTAGGTAGGGGTGTCTTCAGGATTAAATGAGATGACACATGGTAATGTCTAATACCTGTAAGTTGCCCAACTAACCTAGGTGCCCAGAACGCCACTTGCCTACTCGGCTCGAGCCCACAGCCGAGGCGCGACACCCAACACGAGGACACACACCATTCACTGAGAATGAGGACGAGCGGCCGCAGAACCTACAAAGCATGTAAGTGGGGACCACAACTCTTGAACTCCTCAGATGGAAAAGCAGGCATGGAGGAGAGGCCAGAAGGTTTGCCCGTTCCCAAATCGTTCATTCAGCAAATATCTACTGAGAGTTGACACCATGCGCCCCATGTGCCAGATACTCTCCCAGGTCAGGGGACACAGCAGCAGCACCTTAAACGGGTAACCGCCGGGGAAATGAATGCAAGTGGAGGAGCACAAGGCACAGGAGGAAACGTGCGGCTGGGGAGCTCAGGGTCTGGCAGGGGACAGCTCCAGCCACAGCTCTACTGCTCATTTGCTCCATGACCTTGGGTACATTATCTAACCCACTCATAACATTGAGTCTCATCCACTGCACAATGGGGCACATAATAATAGCACCTTCACCTTATAGGACTGGTGTGAGGAATAAGTAAGATAACCCACCTCATGTGCCTAGAACAGTGCCTAGCATGTGGCAAGTATTCTACTAACTATTAATATTAGCACGGTGCCTGGCACATAGTAAGCAGATTGCGCTGTTGTTCCAGAAGTTACATCCTGGCTATAGGCCACGTGCTGGACGAGGGAAACTTCTTCAAGAGCCTGTTCTGGGTCTCAGGCCCTGCTTTGGGACTTCTCGACGGGGTCACTGCCACCACTCAGCCTGGAGCCGAGCGCGGACGGCCATCATGGCTGTGCTCTCACCTGAGCTGCTGGGAAGAGATGCTCCTTGTCCGCCCGGGCCGCAATGGGAACCAGCTCCTTCTCAGCAAAGTCCCGGCACATCTGCCGCAGCATCTGGTGTGTGTCGGGCAGTTCCACAGACTGGTAGACGGTGTGCAACTGTCGCCAGTCCTGAGGATGGAGGGCTGCCACCAAGAAAGGAGAATGCCAGAGGTCTTGATAATGATAACAACAGGGATCCGCTAACTTAGTGGTTCTCCACCAGGAAGGGTTTCGCCACCTTGGGGACACTGGGCAATGTCTGGAGACATTTTGGGCTGTCACAACTAGACAGGGGAATGCTATTGGTATTCAGTGGGTAGAAGTCAGGGCTACCTCTAAACAAACTATGATGCACAGGACAGCCCTGCAACAAAGAATGATCAACCCAAGATGTCAATAGTGTCGAGGCTGAAAAACCCTATACTAAGCGAATGCTCAGCATGCTCACTAAACACGTCACACTCGCTCAGTCAGTCAATCTTCTGTATAACATCAATTTTTTTTTTTTTGAGACAGAGTCTCGCTCTGTTGCCCTGACTAGAGTGCTGTGGCATCAGCCTAGCTCACAGCAACCTCAAACTCCTGGGCTCAAGCGATCCTCCTGCCTCAGCCTCCTCAGTAGCTGGAACTACAGGCATGCACCACCATAACTGGCTAATTTTTTCCTATTTTTAGTTGTTTGGGTAATTTCTTTCTATTTATAGTAGAGACAGAGTCTCCCTCTTGCTCAGGCTGGTCTTGAACTCCTGAGCTCAAACGATCCACCACCCTCAGCCTCCCAGAGTGCTAGGATTACACGCGTGAGCCACCTCACCTGGCCAACACCAATTATAATAAGACCTCAACTCTGTGGCCTCAGGCAAGAGTTTCAACTTCCCTGAGTTACTATAAAAGGAAGAAGACAATACTATTGTTTCCCAGTTTCTATAAAATGAAGAAGGCAATACTATTGTCCTGGGAACTTCTGGGAGTAGGAGGGTTAAAGAAACACTAACTGTAGCACTCAGCACAGCTCTCAATTTCCCCTTGTTGTTATAATCCAGGGTGAGTGGACCAGGCAAAGGAAGCCCTGGCCATATGTGTCACTGCTGCTGTCTTAGGAGACAAATGGTAAGACAAAAAAGGTATTGTGTTAAATAATTGCCGGCCTGGGCAACAGAGCAAGACCCCGTCTCTACAAAAAATATGTAAGTTAGCCAGGCACGGTAGTGTGTGCCTGTAGTCTCAGCTACTCCGAAGGCTGAGGCAGGTGAATCGATGGAGCCCAGAAGTTGGAGGCTGCAGTGAGTTATGATGATGCCACTGCACTCCAGCCTGGGAGACAGAGCAAGACCCTGTCTCAAAAACAAACAACAACAACAACAAAACAAAGAAAATCAACAATAGCGAACATTTACAGAGTACCTGTTGCATGCCAGGCACTGTACTAAGCGCTTTACACAGCCTGTTATTTAATTCTTCCAACAACTACTTCACTGTGGCCATTTCACACGCGGGCCAACTGAGGCTGAGTGGGGCTGAGCGTCTTGCCCAAGGTCACAGATGCGAGTCTGGCTCCGGTTCATGCTCCGGAGGAAGGGTGCACCCTGAGCCTCCGCGGGGTGGGATGAGGGAAGTGGGTGCGGTGCAGCCGTGAGAACTGAGCTGGCATGGGGGTCAAGCAGGTGTGGGGTGTCCAAGCGGGAGCCCGGTCCCCGAGCGGCCGAACTGGGGCAAAGGCCGTGCGCGCCCTCAGAGGGCGCTCCGCGGTCCGCCCCCCCCCGCCCGCTCGCCCGACCCGGGACGCGGCGGGCCGTGCGGAGCCCGAGCGCACTCACCTCTGCGGAGGGGGCCGCAGGCCCGGAAGAGCAGCGAGGCGGCCATGGATAACAAACGGACACCGCGCAGGACTTCTCCGCGACCTCCGACTGCGACCGCGCGGTTCCGGACTGCGGGGGTGGGGCCGGCGGGGCAGAGGCCACACCCCTCGAGCCGCGGGAGAAGGGGCGAAACCCGCGCGGCGTCCCGGGGGCGGGGCGTCCGGGGCGGGGCGGGGCGTCCCGGGGGCGGGACGTGGCGTCTCCTCGGGGGCGGGGCGTCACGGGGGCGGGGCAGGGCGTCACGGGAGGCCTCCCAAGAAGCGGTACAGGTAAGTTTCCCGCGCGCATGAAGTGTCAGAGGTAGGTCTGCTAAGACCGTGCTGTGTTCTCATCCATTAGTAAAAATGTCAGAACCAAGCCAAGAATAGAGCCTTGCAGAGCTCTTTTTAAAGCATAAATCAGATAGCAGTCCTAGGCTTATTGGCTTCGTTCGCAGGCCCGTCTCTCCTGAAATCCAATTCCATGCCTAAAAAGCTTTCTAGGACCTGCCCCTGCCTACCTCTCTGGCCCCACGCCCAGTGTTCCCTGGCAATCTTTGCTCCAGCCACATAAGCAGCTCTTCTCTAAAGCCCACTAGCTTGCTCCTGCCTCAGGGCCTTTGCACTGCATACGCCACTTCTTTTTTTTTTTTTTAAGACATAGTCTCACTCTGTTGCCTGGTCTAGAGTGTGCCGTGGCGTGAGCCTAGCTCACAGCAACCTCAAACTCCTGGGCTCAAGCGATCCTCCTGCCTCAGCCTCCCAAGTAGCTGGGACTACAGGCTATTTTTTTCTACATATTTTGGTTGGCCAATTAATTTCTACTTATAGTAGAGATAGGGTCTCGCTCTTGCTCAGGCTGGTTTCGAACTCCTGACCTTGAGCTATCAGCCCACCTCCGCCTCCCAGAGTGCTAGGATTACAGGTGTGAGCCACTGCGCTGGGCTAATACGCCCCGGTGCCTCCTGGCCAATACGCCTCATCTTTCGGTCTCACCCAGGCCTGCCCTGACCACAGCAGGCCCATGTTTTTTCCCTGCTTGCTCTCTGACCATCGTTCTTTTTATTCATGGCACTTCACATCTGAAATTATCTTATGTGTCATCTCCCCCACTAGTCTTTTCGCTCCAAGAAAGTCAAGGGCCTTGTCTTGCTCTGGTGCTAAATATTTAGGCCCATGGAACTGGGTTGCCAGGGAGGGAGATTTCTTTTCCCCAGAGGTTGTGAAGGTGGGATGGTGCCGCCACCTCTCCTCTACTGCAGGCCTATCTGTCCCACTTCTAACTGGGGAGCAAAGCCCTGATGGCAGCCGTACATTTGACCCCTAGCATCCTCACTAGGACACCTTCACCCTGCCCAAGAAATGGCACTGATTTCACTTGCCCCCCAAGGGTCTTTTTGTTGACACAGGTGCAAATCTGACTCCCACAGCCTCCTGGGCACCACCCACGCCCTCCTAGGCACCCACATAGCCCTCCTCCCAAAAAACTCAGCCAGGCATCTGTCCCCACTAGTGACCCACATGCCAAAAATTCTGTCTTCCTGCAAAACCTTGCTCTATTTCCTACAAAGAGAACAATTGAAAGACATAACAGAATCCTTAATGTTACCTTTCATTAAAAAAAAAAAATGCATTGGAAAAAATACTCTCCAAATCCACAGTACTTTAAAGTCAAATGAATGTCTGTCATGGGCAAATGCTCTGAGATCTTCCTCACCTTTAAGTCATCCCACCTGGGCACCAGCTCTGGGAGGAAGAAAAGATGAAAAAGTAGGAGAAAAGAGCCAGAAATAAGTGAATCATGTTTGTGAGCAGAGGCCAATAAGAACAGCTTCAGGTGCCACAGAGCACCTAAGCCAGACTCTCATTTTAGAACTGTATTTGTAACTGTAAAAATGGATGTAAGTTTTTTTTTGTTTTTTGAAACAGAATCTCACTCTGTTGCCCGGGCTAGAGTGCTGTAGTGTCAGCCTAGCTCACAACCACCTCAAACTCCTGGGCTCAAGCAATCCTCCTGCCTCAGACTCCCAAGTAGCTGGGACTACAGGCATGTGCCACCATGCCCGGCTAATTTTTTTTTTGTATATATAGTTTTAGTCAATTAATTTCTATTTTTAGTAGAGACGGGGTCTTGCTCTTGCTCAGACAGGTTTTGCACTACTGACTTGAGCGATCCTCCCGCCTCGGCCTCCCAGAGTGCTAGGATTACAGGTGTGAGCCACCACGCCTGGCCTGGATGTAAGTTTTATATTAAAAATATACAGCTTTCCCAATAGAGAAATAATCAGCCAGTGATTACAAGAAGCTGGGGCAAGGGGAGGGAACTGGCTGCAAACACAAGGACTCATGGGAACGTTTTGAGTGGGTGTGATGGAAATGTCCTATATCATGATTGTGATGGGGTATTAAGATTACACATTTGTCAAAAATCATCTAACTGTACTCTTAAGTGAGACGTCATAGCTGTAGTTAAAAGTATAATAAGCCTACTTTTAAACCACATATGTAAATTTTCAATTCTTAAAGCCACCCTGGCAAAATATAAAGCAAAAATATTAAACCTAAAGCACAATCCTATTCCCCAATCACCCCAGAAACCAGCTCTTAATATTACACCAACTCATTATAACTAATTGCAGAAAAACCACGTATAGGAGCCAAAACAGCCACGATAGGAGAAACCCCCCAAGATAGGAGCCCTCCCTCAGAAACACAGGGCCCAGTCAGGAGACAAGACAGGGTACACATACTGTGAAAATCTTTCTTTTATTACTGTCTCGTGGCAAAATAACATTTTATACAAATAAGTCACCTAGTTAACTCTGGACACAAAGACAATACAAACTGGAATGAGGATCTTGGGTGAAGTAGGAAAGAGGAGGAAGGTAAGATCAGGTCATTGATGTTTCTTATATTCTGTGAAAAATAGATTTACAGGGAAAAAAATAGACTTTCACAACTTCAATGACTTCACATGATCTTTTGTGAAACAAGGGGTAAATTCACCTCCACCAGATCCTTCTTGTGGGTAAGATGTTCTGTGACACGGAATGTGAGTAACACGATGGTTCAACGATTAGGCTCCTACACCAGGTACAGCAGCACCCTCTGCAACAGGAATCCTTGTGTACTGCCAAGGAGCCTGTGCTGTGAATTTTAGGACACAATGTCCTTATCCCCAAACCTCACTGATGTCATAGTGACAACTGGCCACTAAAAGAAAGTGAATTAACAGAGATACAAAATAGACTGGGCTCCGTGGCTCAAGACTGTAATCCCACACTCTGGGAGGTTGAGGCAGGAGGATTACTTGAGCCCAGGAGTTCGAGACCAGCCTGAGCAAGAGCGAGAACCCATCTCTACTAAAAAAAAAAAAGAAGAAGAAGAAGAAGAGTACCCTGGGAGCCTACCAGGGCAGCAGGACACACTAAGGCAGGACTCATCTACTTTGTACATTAGACATAGCCTATTAAATCCATTCCAGAAATGAGTTCCACTTCAACTGAAAAAATAAGTTGAAGATTGTCCAATCACTGCCATTTCAAGAATCGTCAGTCTATAATTAGCCCCAAACACCACCAAATCACTGTTCCTATGTGTTGGAAATCCAACAGCACAAAGACTGAGGTGTCTTCAGGAAGCACAAGCCCCTGAAAAAATGCTTTCTTTACAAGATAGTTTTGAGCTAACACATAAGGAGTCAATAGCCTAATTTAGCCCCAGGCTACTTTTAGGTATTATTTCCTCTGTTTACCCTTTAGAACATAAAAAAAAATAAACCAGAATCTTCTTTGGAGAAGCTAGAAGGGCATCTTAGCCCAAAGGCTGTATAGGAAAAGAGAGGCCCTCTCCAGGAGATTCCAAGGCAGAGGGACAGGAGCAAGACTGGAGGGGAGAGAGTGCAGGCAGGAGGTCCTATGGCACCGGGCGGGCCTGCCACTCCGCTGGGATGTGTTCCCTGGAGGAGCTGCCTCTCAGGTGCCGACCCTTAACAGAGGGCGCAGTCCCCACCCCACCCCCATGCAGGTAGTTTGTTCCCCCTCTCCTATCACCCACAAGATAACTGCCATCAACAGTCCGGATGCCTTAATAACATGGCAGCCTGCCTCACCGTCTAATGGGTTGTTACATTCAGAGAAGGTATGACTTCCAATTTTTCCCTCAACTCAGGTACAAACGCTTGAATTTCAAACTCATGCAGGTTAATACCCCAGAGTGGTAATGTTTCTCAAGATTTCCCGAGCAGCTAGGCACAGGAATCTGGAGCCCTAGATATAGAACACCAGACCTTCAGAAGCAGAAGATGGCAAATCCCTGTCAAGCTGGACACAGACCGAGCGCTTGGTCTCAAATGGTGTCCAGTGAGACTGAGGCTAGCTAATAGGAAAGGGGATACAGCACTGCTCAAGCCAGAGTGCCCACCTCCCTCATGCTCCGGCCCGCTGCCCAGGCAAAGCTGTCCCTGAGGATAAGAGACGTCCACTAGCGAACTACAGACGGGCTGCCTGGGGGCACATTTCCAAAACACACTCAAATGAGCAGAGGTCTGGAAGCTTCAGGAACCACGTCCTAAATATTATTTAAATATCAAATAGTAGAAACTCTCCCAATTGGGCCTCTGTCACAAAGAGAAGGGATTGTTGTTAAGCTTGACAGGAACATGCAAATCCCACTTGAGAAGCCACAATGAGGAACACAAGGTAAAAAGACAGCACTGATGTCTGTCTTCAGATGAGGAGAGGGTAGCAACAGCAATATAGCTTTCCCCAGCAGCAAGGAGACAAAGTCACACAAAAGGCACCGTATTTGTAACTGAATCCAGTTTTGAAAGTCACCAGGTCTGGTGACGAGAAACCCATTCCACAGGGCGCATGGTCTGTTCCTTCCCTCAGGGTTGAACCCGGTGCCCGCACAGCGGGGTAGTCTTGGGCTTTCTCAGTGAGAAAGCTGCCAGCATATGACATCACCAAGCCTCTGGCCCGGCACAAAGCACTGGGCCAAAGTTCAAAACCATTCACATTCTAGAATCCAAACAGGGAGCAACACTGGTCGATGAATACACAGGAACTTCTGTGACAAAGTGTTGTCTCTGCTTTCCCTGGTCCCACACAGCCTTTCTCTCAAGCACCTTGGGTC